ATTTTGTAACTAAAAAAAAAAAAAAAAAATTGCCTCCTACAAACTTCTTTTCCTGTGGAGACGAGGCTTAGTTAAGTGGGCAGATGTTCTCACCGGTTATTTTAATAGAATCCTACCTACTTCTTGGGTCCTTTGTCTCAGTTCGCACTTTGGCTCAGTATGCACTCAAAGCTTCAACTTCGGAGCAGTTTAATCACCGTATTCACTGATAAGGTCAGACCGTAGGTTCTCCCCCTAGCTGGGCGGTCTGTAGTCACTCTTTAACTCATAAAGGAATTGGAAACGTGTATTTTGGAGACTGTGGTGGCTTCTTTTATGTCTGTCTTTTCTGAAAGAACATTTGCTGTTAAATCTTTCACAAAGGAACTCCATCACGAATGAAGTGCCTACTTATAGGGGCACCTAATTCAATGCATCATTTCTACAAAAATGATTTTATTTTTCGGATAGCTGTATTTTGAATTTTAGGGTGGCTGGCTATTTTTAAGGCAACCTGTTGTGAATCTTTTGAGGAATTGTATCATGTTTTCCACATAAATGAAGGAAAACTGGTAAATAAATCATTCATTGAGAGTTTACTTTTACATAGCAGGCCCGGAGTGTTGTAGACATTTAATGTGCTTAGCTACTAAGTTAAAGGTTGGACATGCCAGCCCTCCAGAGGCACCTCACAAGAAAGACCTGGAGATCTACTTGTGAAAAATCATTTGTGGGTTCATCCTGAATGTCAGTGTTGACTCGGTGAGAAGTGATTTGATTTGAATCTTTAATGCTTCCCTTGCTTTTCTCTGTGTTTAAATCTTTAAACAAAATGCTAGACAGATAATTCTCGGTAGTTCAGAATCGGCATATTTTTCTTGTAAAGCATCTGTGAATCCCTCTTCCCCCTCACATCTTCCTCAAGCTCTCCTTCCAGTTCGTAGTATTAGAATTATCGTGGTATCCCCACGGGCCTAGTACACAAGTGCTGTTAATTCTCTTCTGTAAAGTTGATGATTTAGACTGTTTCTATTGAGATAATCTAATTCATACCCAAAAAACCCCAAACCACTGTCATCCAGTCTGTTCTGACTCATAGTCACTGTGTAGTGTTTCTGAGCCTATAAACATTCATGGTAGCAGAAAGCCTCATCTTTCTCCCAGGGAGCATCTAGTGGGTTTGAACTGCTAACCTTGAGAGTAGCAGCTCAATGCGTAACTCACTATGCCACCGGGTCCTCTATTTCCCCACATCAGTCAAACACATTAATCAGTCTTCTCTTTAGCCTCCTCTGCCCCAAATTCTTCCATCATTCCCAGTCAAGCAACTGTGCCAGACGCTTAACATTTCCCTTCTTTACTGCACTTCCTTTCTTACTAACATTCCATAGCTCCCTACTGCTTAGAGAATTAAGGGTAATCTGGAGTTGGTCTCTAGCGCTTGTTTCCCAGCTCCCTTCCTCAACTGAATGTCTGGATTTCCCTGACCTGCCACTCCTGTCTGCATTTGACTAGTTTCCCTGCCACCTGGCCAGGCTTCATTGAGCCTTCCACATAGCTCTGTCTGATTCTTCTCAAGATGACATAACTTCCCACTGCTGAGTGGTGTAAAGTTTATTTAAAGACAGTTTTAAAAAATAAAAATATTTTACATTTCCTTTTATCCCTGTGTAAATATAACTCAACTCTGTCAACATTTATATAACTTTTCAAATCCCCCAGATGGGATTTTAAACTGAGGGTTGGGAACCAAACTGTTTATCTTTATAGCCATTCAGAACCAATTCCAAATATCCAGAAAATTATGATTGATCACAACTACTATGGTAAGTCTCTCGTCAGCACTTTCTAATCTAAAATATTATTTTAAAGGCTGATAGAATAGGAAGGAAGGGACTCTGCAAGGTCGGTGGTTCACACTCACCAGCCACTCCTCAGATACCTTATACAGGGAATTGACCCAATGACACTTAACAACAATATATAAAAGCAAGGGAGTCCTGATGTGAGTGGCGCTGTAGGATCAGCACTTCACTCCTAACCACAGGGCAGTGGTTCAAACCCACCAAACTGCTCCTTGGAATCCCCATACAGCATTGCTAAGAGTCAGAACTGACTCCACAGAACTTAATATCAACTACATAATAGGAAGACTGCTTGGTTAGGAGTGGATCTCTGGTAGCGTAGTGGTTACAAATCAGGCTCCTAACCTCAAGGTCTGCAGTTCGAAACTACCAGCCATTCTGTGGGAGAAAGATGAGGCGTTCTGCTCCCGTAAAGTTTTACAGCCTCAGAAACCCTATACAGGGTCGCTATGAGTCAGAACCGACTCCATGGCACTTAACAACAACAACAGCTTGATCAGGAAGAAGAAGGTCTCTATTCTCATACATACTCTTCATGCTGTTTATCCTTGTGGGAAGCTCTTGGTTTATTTTTGGAACCATCTGCGTCTTCTTTCTGTATCTAAAAGTTGTTGGGCTATCCAAAAGCAGTACAATAGGTAAAGGTACTTTGAAAATGAGAAAGTGACAAAACTCCATACCATTTTAAAGTAAGATTGTTAAGATGTTGAGTGCAGAAAAGAATGCATAACATTCTCAGGATTTGCCCCAATGTGTCCGACTCAAGTACTGTAACAAAATAAATAACCTATGTAGCTCTTCTCTTCTCTCAGTGCTGGCATCTCCTGATTTCAACAGCAAATCATTCTCCTAGGTCACGACTCTATCTGACGTCTTCTTTTCTGTTGGTTTAGATAGGATAATCACAAAGACTATTCCGGGAATGGTAGTCATATGTGTAGAACACACCGTGTCTGGTCACTTCCGCCAATAATGAAATCAGCCCATGCCCTCATCATACCACATATTTGCCTGCCTGGGGAAAAGTTTGGATTGCACTGCATTACTGGTACCTCCTTTGATTGCTGTTTCTGTACAATCTTTTTGAAGCCCCTTCATTAATAAGGTCAGCTTTGGACTCAAGTGTTAGAGTGCCTTCTTCATTCAAATGCTGATGTGACTCCTTTCAAATTGTGTGGCCTTGGACAAGCCACTGAGAGAAATTAAAGGAGTCCTGGTGTGGTGCTGCAGGTTAATGTGCTAGACTGTAAAGTCAGTTTGAATCCCAAGGTTGGTGGTTCAAGCTCATCCGCCATTCCTCGGTAACGCTATACTGGGTCGCTGTGTGTCGGAACTGAATCGATGGCACTTAACAACAACAGTGAGGTTAAAATTTATAGAATCAATACAGCCAAGGCCATGAGAAGGATTCCTGGCTCTCAGTACAAGTATTGTTAGGCAAAGGCTAGTCTGCTGCGGAAAGCTTGTAGGCCAGTTCTGTAACCTTGTGGGTTCAAGTAAAGCTTTAGAAATTCAGAGCTGCTGTTTCAGTTAGAAAAACAGTGCTAATTCTCTCTCCACCCCATTGGCTGGACTCACCCTTAATGTCAGTTCAACCCTTTTACCGTCTGACTCTGTGGGACTAAAGGACCAGTTGGTAGAGGTCCTCTCCACTTCTCCGACTGTTTCCAAACCCCGTGTATGGGTGTGCGGTGCTAGTTGCTACTTCATGGGCTTAAAACACAAATCATTTTACTGTCAGACTGTTGTGGTCACAGTGAGTTAAGGGAAATGTAAAGCCATAGCTAAGCTGTTAAGGCCAGAAGGTAGGAATGTGAGGGGCTGCCAGTCCCACTAACTGTCTGTTGGCTTCTGGAAATTGATTTTTGTTTGCTTGCTCACCACTTCCTGGAATGTCACGAGAGACGAGCTCCATGTAACCAGTTACATTCACCTCCAAGTATGGCAACCCCATTTGTAGCAGGATAGAACTGTGCTCCATGGGGCTTTCAGTGACTGGTTTGTTCGAAATAGATCACTAGCCCTTTTTTGTGAGGTACCTCTAGGTGGACTCACACCTGCATTAACCATTTACACAACTCAGGGACTCGAAGGTCTATGCATGGAGGACATTTTTACTGCTTTCTATCTTTGCTACTAAATCACAACAATAGCATCAAACTTAGTAACAGCGCTTTCTGAGCAAACTGTCACAGATCCCAAGTAAGCAAAGTTTCTCAAAAATGGCAAGAATCCACACACTGATGACATTTTGGGAAGAGGTCCTGCTTCTGTTTGCGTTACACACATGAAGACGCTGAGGCTGAGCGGAGTTAAAGAACTAGTCCAACACCACTCAGAAATTGAGAAAGTAGCACAGCTAGGCATACATTCAGGCAGGCCTAACCACAAGCTTTAGGTCTCATTACTGACATTAAACACAGGTGTTTCGCTGTGAAGAACTATTTCCCTTTGTATGGTTGACTGGGAGCACTTGATAGGTTCCTAACTATAAGGTTGGCGGTTCACACACTTAACCCACTGTGTCACCAGGGTTCCTTATAAATTTATGTAGAGTCAAAGAATTTTTGAGTCATCTTGCAATTCAATGTGCTAATCCATAGTGAAGGAGACCTGGTGAAGCAATGGTTAAGCACTTGGCTACTAACTGAAGAGTCGGGGATTTGAACCTACAGCAGGCAGGGGCTCTGCTGTATGAAAGTTCTGGAGATCTGTTTCTGTAAAGATGAGAGTCTAGAAACTTGACAGCACCTCACATAAACCCATATTGTGCTTTGTATCCATTTAGGGCAGGGGTGGGGAACGTCTGGCCCACGGGCCATGTGAGGTTTGCAGAATCATTTGGTCTGACACTGCCACCGCAACCGCAGTTCCAGCCTTCACGTTTTTGTTGTTGTTAAGTGCTGCTGAGTCCGTTCCGACTCATAGCAACCCTGCAAATGGTTTACAATGAGTGGCTGGTGAGTTTGAACCATGAACCTTGTGATTCAAACCCCTAATTAAATGCTTGACCAAATACAGGAGGCTAATTTTTAAGTAGATTAATTTTGTATGACCCATGAATGATGTTATAGACTTTGGCAGCAAAAAAGTTTCCTGCCCCCAGATTTAGGGGAAGAAAGAGTGCCGTCATGTTATGTGGCCTTTGTTTTCCAGCTTCCATCGTGGTCCAGAAATGGTGGTGTCACATGAATCCCTGTTTAGAAGGAGAGGACTGCAAAGTGCTACCCGATTACTCAGGCTGGTCCTGTAGCAGTGGTAATAAAGTGAAAACAACAAAGGCAAGTATGGACAAGAACGCGATGCTCATTCACAACTTCAGCACCGTGTAACTGGGAGGCTTTGCACCCTTATTGGTGCCTGCCATCGAGAGAACCACATTGTTTTGTGTCGATAGACCTGACGTTCTCTGAGCTTGTCACAGGACCATGCTGCTCTTTTGAGCGTGTTTCCCAAAGTCACATTTTGTGTCATCTTTTACAGGTCATTGATTTGGTGGGTGAACTCATCACTTTCGGAAGGGCCAGTAAATTCATTTCAGCTCCTTCTTGAGGTCTAAGTTAGAGTTGGGATCGCAGAGTTGACAGTGTAGTATATCAAAACACATGGCAAGAATCCACACACTAATGAGATACTAAAATAGATATACCTACTAATCATATTGTCAAGAGGGAACAGTCGCTGGAGAAGGATATCTGCTGGGTAAGGTGGAGGGTCAGAGAAATGAGGAAGACCCCCAACGGAGATGGATTGGCCAAGTGGCAGCATCGATGGACTCAAGCGTGGTAACAGTAGTGAGGTTGGCCCAGGATCAGGCAGTGTTTCATTCTGCTGTGCATAAGGTCACTATGGGTCGGTACCAACTCTATGGCACCTAACAACAACATCAACAACTACCTTCAAGGACACTTAATGGTTTAAGCCTCTAATTCAGATTTTACATTTTTCTCCCCAAATGGTCCACTTCCAGTACTGTCTACATACTTTTTCAGCCAGAAACCTAGCTTCTTCCTGGTCTCCCACATGCAGTTCTTACTTCACCATTGACATACATCCCATGCTTCACCTGGACTCCTACACCTGCTCATGTTTCTTTCCAGTCGATTCTTCACACCGTAATTACGATCATCTTTAGGCAGTGGGAACCTATTGAGCAAGTTCCCCCCAAAATCTTTCAGTGTTTCTCATTGTTGGTCTACTAGCCCCCTGCGTGCTGTGGCCTGTAATAACCTGGGAAGCCTTCTTCTCTCCATATTCTTTCTTTCCTCCAACCACCTCAGCCTGTTGTTGTCTTTCTTGCTATGGTGTCTTTGAGATTGCTATTTTGACTCCATGGAAACACTTCCCTCCCTTATTTTCTATCTACTTAGTCATTATTCCTTCAGGGACTCCTTCTCCGACTGGCTTTACAAATCCTGTGTCTCTGAGTATTTACTGTGTTTCTCCATTTTACACAGTTTGGTATACTGGTTTGTTTTCTGTCTAGTTAGAGAGCTATGAGGTCAGAGCCTTGTGCCGATTTTTCTAACCCTGGTAGTCCCTCTGGCTGCTGAATCCCTCTCTATTTCTTAAATAAAATAAAACAGTATGACAGAGGTCATTCTGGAATTAATAGAACTGAACACACTGCTATGGAATGACCCTTTGGTTGCTCTCTGTTTAGGAAATAAAATACAGAATGACTAACTTGTTTCTACGACCACATTTTCTCCTTTCCAAAACTTTAGAATTACTAGACAGTTGAAATTCTCATTCATCTTCAACAATTAAGGGTTAAAGCAGGCTAGTTCTCTTCCTAAGCATATGCATAAGATATAATAATAAGATTTTAAAATATCTATTTAAATGTAAATATATAAAATATATATCATCAAGACATTTAATAATAAATTTAAAGCAAATTAATTGATTTCACATATCGATATTTGCCAATACGATAGATAGTAAGTCAGTTGCATTGTTGTTGTTAAGTGTTGTCAAGTCAGCTCCAAATCATAGCAAACCCTGTATTGGGTTTCCAAGGAGCAACTGATGGGCTTGAACTGCTGACCTTGTGGTTCTCAGTCCGGTGCTTACCTGCACACTGCAAAAAATCAAGACCCATTTTCAGAATTAATTATGGCTACCAACTAACTTGACCTACTGTTGTTCTGAAATGTCATCTAGTTGGTTCTGACCCATAACCATCTTCTATAGGGTTTCCGATAAGCAGTTGGTGAGTTTGAACTGCCAACCTTGCTGTTGATTGCTTATCCTACAGCGCCACATCAAGATTGCTAATATGATACAGACTTTATTTTATCTAAGGCAGACGTCCATGGGAGGAGTGAGAGTTCAACCCTCCCCCCATTTCTTCCAGTTCCCTTTGTAAGCCACCCTCAATAAACTTCCAGTCTGAGCCCAGTGTGCCTACTAAGCAAACCCTGCCTTAAGAAGATTCTCCAATCCTCGCCCCATCCCCATCCCATCGTAGGCTTCTTCCAGACATTTTCTCCTAAGTTCTTTTTTAAAAAACCATGGTGCGCCTAGTGATTGCATTCATCAGTGATAGTGATTTACGGATTTGCATTCATTAGTGATAGAGAAAAAAAAAAAAAAGTATTCTTTTATATTTTTTGTAGACTGAGAACATTTTGGAAGATTGTATTCATACTGATTTTTACATATGCATATAAAACAAGCTCATTAACACAAACCAACTATGTTCTGGGAAGGGCTGTTTGAGTCGTTTTCTTGGTAAACAGTGGCTTTCTATTTAGGTGCAGTTAGGGCATTTGGGGGAAGCAAACCTTGAAGGGGTATTTTGGCTCTGTGTGCTGGTAATGTAAGTTTCCTCTAGCTAAATCCCCAACAGTAGTGACATTTCATTTAGCACTTCAGAAAGTTGTAGAAACATAGTACAGCTCCCCAAGCCATCCTAATATTAGAGCTCCTTTTTTTTTTTTTTTTAGTGATATACCACTTGAGAATAATCTCAAAGTCATAAAACTTTGTTTCCTTTATTAATTCAAATCAGTTTGACTCAAATTGCATAAAACATTTTATGTCCTGTTATGAATCTTAGGCACATAGAGTCAATTCTGTGGTTTCCACGAAGAACTTGATGTTCTTTTTTTTGTGTGTGTGTCTTAAAATCAGCCCTGACCTTATGCCACAGGTGACCAGGTGGTCCTATAAAGAGAGCCCAATTGCCTTCCTAGAGAGGATATTAACTATATAGCAACAACAGTTTCAATTTTCTCTCAACAGTTCAGGCACAGGAGTAGCACAGCGTGGAAAGGCTAAAAAGTATGATTGTCTGCAGTAAGCTGTCTATGTTAGAGTTTTATTTTCTATTTAGATGCAAATATGAAAAGAGTTAGAAGTCAGCTTGAGATATTAATAGCCTTAGATGTAGATATGAAAATAAGAGGGGGGCAATCCCTAAGAGTCATCTTGTCTTTTGCAGGTATAAAAGACTTTCTGTACATTTAGTCTGCCTTTGTAATTTTCAGTGTCCTCCAGAAAGGAACAGCCTATACTTCTTTTGGGAAAATAGAACTTTCTCTTTCTCTTGTCCAACCTCACTGTCCCTTAATTTAATTGAGTTTTGCTGCATTAAAAAGAAGAAACTTACTGTTTCTTTTTTTATTCATCCATATTAAGATTCCTAACAAGTGAACTCTGGTAGCGTAGTGGTTACGAATCGGGCTGCGAACCTTAAGGTCAGCGGTTCGAAACTACCAGCCACTCCGCGGGAGAAAGATGAGGCTTTCTACTCCCGTAAAGATTTACACCCTCGGAAACCCTGTACAGGGTCGCTATGGGTCGGAACCGACTCGACGGCACTTAACAACAACAACAACAACAAGTGAACAATGTCTTCTTAGCACCAAAGCCAAACACTTGTCAGGGTTGTTTTTGTTTTTTTTTTTGGAGTGTAATAGAGGTGCTTGGGTACTGGTGAGTCAGTTCTGACTCATAGTGACTCTGTGCACAACATAGGACACACTGCCTGGTGCTGCCCCAGAGTCACTGTTGTTAATCTGTTTGAACCATTGTTGTAACCACTGTGCCAGTTCATCTTGTTGGGAGTGTTTCTCTTTTACACTGACCCTCTCTTTACCATGCACGATGTTTCTCTTGATGGTATGTCCAAAGTACATGAGACAAAATTTCTCCATACTCACTTTTAAGGAACATTCTGAGTGTATTTCTTCCAAGGTGTGTTTATATCCATTCTTCTGGAAGTTTATGGTATGTTTAATATGAATCATCACAACCATAATTCAAAGGCATCAGTTCTTCTGTGGTCTTCCTTATTCATTGTCCAACTTTTACATGCATATGAGATAATTTCTTACAATGTTAGATTTTTTTAATGGTTTTCTATTTTAAGCTTTTACCAAGGGTGAAGTGCTATGGTTTTAGAGCAGTGGTTCTCAACCAGAGGCAAGTCTGGCTATCACTCCTGGGAGGATATTGGCAACTAATGGGTGGTAGTGGCGGTGGTGATGTGCCATGGAGTCAGTTCCAACTCATAGCAACCCTGCATAGAGTTTCTGAGACTGTAAATCTTTATGGGAGCAGAAAGCCTCATCTCGCTCCCATGGAAAAGCTATTAATCAAAGTTATATTAAGTGTCTAAATATATCCAATACTTCATATTATAAGATGAAAGGAAGGAATTTTGAATCTGAACAACAGGCTTTCCATTGTGTTTCTATCCTTTTCCTCTAAGATGATAAGATGACAAAGTTCTCTTGAGTATCTTCTTCAAATGCCTCTCTAACTGGTACCTTTCTCTTGGACATCCACTACGGATCATCCCCATCCATTTTGCCACCCAAGCCAAACCTACTTCCATCTGTCATTTTGTCATAGGGTGGTGGCTGGCATATTGTAATGATACTAGAAGCTATATCATCTGTGTTTCACATACCAGCAGGTGGACATTTTCCAGCAAAGCTTACAGATTAAGAGAAGCCAGGAAGAAAGACCTCCTTCTGAACATTGGTTAATGAAACCCTATGGATCACAGCACAGTACTGTCTAGTACGTGGTGTAAGATGAGCACCCTGGGTCAGAAGGCCACAATGGACTGAGGCATGCCAGGGATCACGAGGCTGCTGGAAAACCAGGGCCACCATATGTCAGAACTCAGCTACCATAAGAAACAACCATCCCACAGATGTCTAGAGTGATGCACCTTCACTTGGTCAATGGGAGCCGCCTGGGTCTGGATCCCCACTATCACCTCCTGTTCTCTCCCTCACTCTGTTAGCCTAGACGGCCTCACTTCTTCCATGTCTCCAAGCACCATGAGAGTATGCAGTTAATAGAAGGGATATTA